TTCCTCAAAGCCTGTCCTCCATCTACAAGGCGCAAGTCGGGAGTGCGATGGAATGCTCCCCATTTGCCTGGATGAGTGCAGCTCCAACAACACTCAAGAAGCTTGACATCATCCAGGACAAAACAGCCCGCTTGATTGGCACTACATCCACAAGCATCCACTCCCTCCACCTCCGACGCTCAGTAGCAGCGGTGTGTACTAAGATGCACTGCAGAAATTCACCAAAGATCCTAAGGCAGCACCTTCCAAACCCACGACCAGTTCCATCTAGAAGGACAAGGGCAGCAGACAAAGGGGAACACCACCACCTCCAAGTTCCCCTCCAAGGCACTCATCATCCTGACTTGGAAATATATCGCTGTTCCTTCACTGTCGCTGGGCCAAAATCCTGGAATTCCTTCCCTAACGGCATTGTGGGTCAACCTACAGCAGGAGGACTGCAGCAGTTCAAGAAGACAGCTCACCACCTTCTCAAGGGCAACTATGGATTGGGCAAGAAATGCTGGCCAGCGAGCCACACCCACATCCCACAAATGATTAGAAAAAAAAATTTACCCTTGGGCAAGTGGTGATGAGCCACTTCTTGAATCACTGTATGGTGTAATATGGTGTAAGTGTTGCACGCATTTTGCTGTAGGAAGGATGTTTCAGAATTTCATACAGTGATCTTGAACGAATAAGAAGATACTGTAGTTCCAATTCAAGGTGTTGTGTGGCTTAGAGAGGACAGTTGTTCTAGATACTTCATGGAGAGGCGATGGCCTAGTGGTATTATCACTGGACTGTTAATCCAGAGACAGGTAATGTTCTCGGGACGCGGAATTTGAATTCAATAAAAATCTTGAATAAATAATCTAATGATGACCATGAATCCATTGTCGATTGTTGGAAAAACCCATCTGGTTCACTAATATCCTTTAAGGAAGGAAACTGCCATCCTTACCTCCAGACCCACAGTAATGTGGTTGATTCTGAACTGCCCTCTTGGCAATTAGGGATGGGCAAAAAATGCTGGCCTGGTAAGCAACACCCTCGTCCCGTTAAGAATAAAGGGGATTATCAGGCTTTGGGGAATCAGGAAGTAAGTTACTCACTGTGGGATTCCTTGCCTCTGACCTGCTGTTGTAGCCTCAATACCTATATGATTGCTGCAGCTAGGTTTCTGGTCAATGGTAACATGTAGGTTGTTGACTATAGGTATTCAGTGATGATACTACCATCGAATGTTAAAGGGAAATTGTTTGGTTCTGTCTGGTCGGAGATGATCATTGCCTGATGCTTGTGTAGTGCAAGTGTTCCTTGTCACTTATCAGCCAAGACTTGGATATTGTTCAGGTATAGCTACATTGGTGCTTCAGTATCTGAGGAGTTGTGAATTGTAGTCAACATTCCCACTCTGACCTTATGATGGAGGAAGGCCATTGATTAGCTAAGCATTGAACTTAGTTTATGAGACAGTTGATGTGCTTTTTTAATTTTCCAAAACTCGTTAGTTTCGTGAAAGGTTCATTTTAGATTGGAAAATAGCTAATATAACTCCTTTATTCAAAAAAGGAGGGAGGCAGAAAGCAGGAAACTAAAGGCCAGTTAGTTTAAAAACACAAATAGAGATTGCTAGAAAAGCTCAGCAGGTGTGGCAGCATCTGTGAAGAGAAATCGGAGTTGACGTTTCGGGTCTGGTGATCCTTCCTCAGAACTGATGGTAGATAGGAAGATGTCGGTTTATATGTCGAAGAAAGGGTGGGGGGAGGGGGGTAAGGAGTAAATGATAGGTAGGATTGAACTCAAAGAGAGAGAAGAACAGTTGGACAGAGAAAGGATCACTCTCATGATTTTATATCTTGTGTATAAGATCATGAGAGGCATGGATAAGGTGAATGCACTCCGTCTTTTTCCCAGGTTTGGGGAATCGAGGACTAGAGGGCATCAGTTTAAATAAGAGGGGAAAGAATACATGGGACCCTGAGGGATAACTTTTTTACGTAGAGGGTGGTACGCATGTGGAATGAACTGCCCAGCGGAATTGGTTGAGGCAGGTACATTAACAACATTTAAAAGGCATTTGGACAAATACATGGATAGGAAAGTTTTAGAAGGATGTGGCCCAAGTGCAGGGAAATGGGGTTAGCGTGGATGGACATTTTGGTCGACACAGACCAGTTTGGGCCAAAGGGCCTGTTTCTGTGCTGTCGGACTCTGTGACTCTTTGAGGAGTGGATAGCTATCTGGCTGGGAGGGTGAATAGCTGTTAATGGAGACTGTTAGTAGCGAGCAATATGTCGTGTATAATGGCAGACTATATGATAACAAGGCCTGGCGTGTCTGGTTGAGGGCTAGCACATGGGAGAGTTCAGGCCCTAAAATTATTGAACTAAATATTGAGTCCGGAGGGCTGCAGGGTCCCCAAGTGGAAAATGAAGTGTTGTTCTTCCAGCGTGCGCTGAGCTTCACTGGAACACTGCAACATGCCTGAGGTAGAGAGGTTGGCTAGGGAACAGGATGATGTGTTAAAGTGGTAGGTAACTGGAACCTCAGGGTCTTTATTGCGGGCAGAACATACATATTCTGACCCTGAGCCACTTAGTTTAACATCTGTTATAGGCAAAGTGTTAGAAGCTAACGTTAAAAGCGCTAAAGCAGGACACTTGGATTAGTTCAAAGTAATCTAGCAGATTCTGTGTGGCTTTGTCAAAGGGAAATCATGCATAACTAACTTATTGGAGTTCTTTGATGAAAATCAGAGGAGTAGTGGACGGCAAAGAACTTGACCAGATGGGCCAATGGACCAAGAAGTGGCAGATGAAGTTTAATCTATATAAATGTGAGGTGATGCATTTTGGAAAGGCAAATCAGGGCAGGACTTGTACAATTAATGTTAGGGGCCTGTGGAGTTTTGCCAAACAAAGAGACCACGAAATGCAGGTTTATAGTTCCTTGAAAGTGAGGTTGCAAGTAGACAGGGTAGTGACGAAGGTGTTTGGTACACTTGTTTTTATTGGTCAGTGCATTGAGTATAGGAGTTGGGAGGTCATTTTGCAGCTGTACAGGACATTGATTAGGTCACGTTTAGAATACTGCATTAAATTCTGGTCTCCTTGCTATAGGGAGGATATTGTTAAACTTGAAAGGGTTCAGAAAAGATTTACAAGGACGTTGCCAGGATTAGAGCGTTTGAGCTAGAGGGAGAGGCTATGGGGCTATTTTCCCTGGATCATCGGAGGCTGAGATCTGACCTTATAGAGGTTTAAAAAATCATGAGGGGCATGGATAGGGTGAATGGTCAAGGTCTTTTCCCCAGGGTAGGGGAGTTGAAAACTAAAGGGCATGGGTTTAAGGTGACAGGGGAAAGATTTAAAAGGGACTTAAGGGGCAGTGTATTCACACAGAGAGTGGTGTGTGTTTGGAATGAGTTGCCAGAGGAAGTGGTGGAGACTGGTGCAATTACACATTTAAAAGGCATCAGGATGAGGATATGAATAGGAAGGGTTCAGAAAAGATTTACAAGGACGAAAGAGCCAAATGCTGGCAAATGGAACTAGATTAATTTGAGATACCTGGTCGGTATGGTCGAGTTGGACTGAAGGGTCTATTTCTGTACTGTACATCTCTATGACTCTAAGTAACTTGTGTTGTGGATAAAGGGGAATTTATAGATTAAATTTCCAGAAGGCATTTGATAAGGTGCCACATCAAAGGTTATTGCAGAAAATAAAAGCTGTTAGTGTAGGGGGTGACACATTGACATGGAGACAAAATTGGCTGGCTAACAGGAAGCAGGGAGTAAGAATAAATCTGTCTTTTTCAGGCTGGCATTATTGTCATGAGTGGTGTGCTACAGGGGTCAGTGCTGGGGCCTCAACTCTTTACCCAATTTATATAAATAATTTGGATGAAGGGAGCAAATGTAGGGTAGCTAAATTTGCTGATCACGCAAACATAAGTAAGCAAGTGAGTTTTGAATAGTCTGTAAGGAGCCTACAAAGGAATATAGATAGATTAAGTGAGTGGGCCAAGATCTGGCAAATGGAGTACATTGTGATTTTTGATAAAAAGAATAAGGAAGTATATTACCTAAATGATGAGAGGTTGTGGAGCTCTGAGACGCAGAGAGGTCTGGGTGTCCTAGTGCACGAATCGTAGATGGTTAATATGTACGTAGGCACAGCAAGTAATCAAGAAATAGCATGTTACGTTTTATTGCAATTAAATGCAAAATGTGGGGATGTTATGCTTCAGTTAAACAAGACATTGGTGAGATCACATCTGAAATACTTGTCACCATATTTATGGAAGGATGATGTTACTCTGTTGAGGTAGTTCAGAGAAGATTTGTTAGATTGATACTTGGAATGGGCAGATTGCCTAATGAGAAAAGGCTAGACAGACTGGGCCTTTATTCTCTGGAGTTTATAAGAGTCAGAGTTGACTTAATTGAAACATATAAGATCCTGAAGGGACTTGGCGGTGTGGATGTTGAAAGGATGTTTCCTCTTATGGGAGAATCTAGAACTAGGGGCCATTGTTTAGAAATAGGAGGTTGCCCCCTAGTCAGAGATGGAAAAATGAAATTATCTGAGTACTGCGTGTCTTTAGATTCCCATTATTAAAACGCAGTGGATACAGAATCTTTATGTATTTTAAAGGCAAAGGTAGAGAGGTTTGTGAATACCAGGGGAACGAAAGATTATTGGTGGTATGCAGGAATCTAGAGTTGAGGTTAAAATCATGATCTTGTGAATGGCAGAGCAGGTCGAAAGAGCCAAGTGGCCTCCCCTTATTCCTTGTTTCTACATTCATAAACCAAAGATGGTTCTGTCTAGAACACTATCCTGAGGAACTCCTGCAGTGGTGTCCTGGGGCTGAATTCATTGATCCCCAAGGACCACCACCATTTTCCCTTTCAGCTCGGTGTGATTCTAAACAGTCAGTTGCTTTCTCTGATTCTGTTAATAGGTGTTACCTGCCTCATGTTGATTCTCAGTGACGTTTTATTATTTTAGGTATTTCTGGAAAATCTGAAGCATGAAGACTCATTTGTTTATTTGTCTGCAATTCAAGGTAAGAAATATTGTTGAATAAAACATTCCATTACTCAAAAACAACAATTAAAAATTGTGCTGTCCACATTACAAGCATATAAAATAGGAGCAGAAGTAGACAATTCAGCATTTTTGAGCTTGCTCTGCCATTCAGTAAGATCGTTTTGAGTTTAAATTCCATGTTTTTATTTATCCTGATTCCCCTGTATAATAATAATCCATCTATCTCTGCTTTAAAAATATCTAATGACCCCTGTCTTCTGATGCAGAGTTCAAAAGTCGAACACTTGCAAAATGTTGCTGTTTCATGTCTCAGTCAATGCTTCATGTTTGAACTTACAGCTTGACAGTCACAGTCAGGTGATTTATGTGTCCAAGTCCAAATCACAAACGCAGAGCAAAAACACAAAAAACTGACTCGTGGTTACATCATTTCCAACCTGAGAACTACTATTTGCCTGAACTCTGTCAGAGCATTAGCCAATTTGAAATGTTCTGATGAAGGTTCACTGGACCCAAAACATTGTCTGATTACTGACCACAGATACTACCAGACTTGCTGAGTTTCTCCAGCAATCGCTACTTTTGTTTCAGAAGTTGAACTTTCGCAGTTCTTGGTTTTATTACTACATCTGTGATGCTATATTGCTTTAAACCTTGTACTTGCATTTTTTTCTGAAGTTTCTGGTGAGACTCCTTCTGATGGCCATTTATGCCTAACATCGCCAAACACAATTTGCTTTCAACAAATCTGTGCAGTCTAAGCAATAGGAGCAGGAGTAGGCCGTTTGACCCTATCTTTCTAACCTAGCCTCTAATATATTCAATGATCCACTCTGCACTACATTCAGGAGAAGACAGTTTCAGTGACACTCTGGGAGAGAAATTCTTCCTCATCTCTGTCTTAAATTGAAGACTGCTCATTTTTTAATTGTGATCCCTCCTGTGAGATTCCTGCATGACAGGAAGCAACATTCACCCTTTAAAACCCACCAGAAGAAGGGTCTAGGCCCAAAACATCAGCCTTCCTGCTCCTCTGATGCTGCTTGGCCTGCTGTGTTCATCCAGCTCTACACCTTGTTATCTTAGATTCTCCAGCATCTGCAGTTCCTACTGTCTCAGAATCTTATGGCTAGCGGTCTAATGTGCTGGATTTAAGCTCCAGTCTCTAACCAGTCTTAGATTCGAATCCCACTCCTACAACAGTTACAGACAATGTACCGCAGGCAGTCACTCATGCAGGAGCTGGGCGACTCGAAGTTTGCCCAGTTTCGATGAGATTATCATTTGTTCTTCTAAACACTAATGAGTAAAGAGCCCAACCTGCTCAACCTTTCATCATAACATCTTTGTCTCAGGCATACATGTCTTATTTGACCTGAGATGAACTTCTGATTCATTCCATTATTTCCACCTTTGTAACATCGGTTAACTTCACATCTGCCTTAGTTGATCTGCTGCTGAAGCCCCTATTCGTGCCTTTGTTACCTCCAGCTTTGATTATTCCAACATATTCCTCTTTGCTGGTCCTCAACATTCTACCCTCTGTGAATTTAAGGCCCTCCAAAGCACTGCTACCTGTGTCTGACTTGCACTATGTTCCCTAGCATTCCACAACTCGCTGAACTACATTGACTCCCAGAAAAGCAATGTATGGTGTTAAAATCTTCATCCTTGTTTTTGAACCACTCCTTGACTTTAAACCTTCCCTATCTCTGTAATCTCTACCTACCATTTGAGATATCTGAGCTCATTTAATTCTGGTAATGTTGATCATTCCAGTTTTGATAAGTTCACCATTACTACTAATGTCTCCAGATGTCTAGGTTACAGTTGACTCCATTTCAAAGAAGTAATGAATTAATTGTAAAATGCTTTTGAGATGTCTGGTGGTCCGTAAAGGCATTGTATAACTACAACTCTATCGGAGCAAGCTTGAAGGCTCAAATGGTCTTCACCTGCTTCTACTTTTTGTGTTTTTTTTTATGTATAAGTTGTACGTTGACAGAGTTACATGCAATAGAGCAAGTTGAAGTCAAGTGAGAAGCAACTCGTCTGAAGCTTAAGCACGCATCCAAATGACCTGTTTCTATGTTGTAAATACAATATAGTTTTCATTTTTAATTCTCCACTGCCCAATCACACTGTACACTTAGTTGATTTCAGGTTTTGAAAATTAGCCAGACATTCTGATATCTTCTCTTAGAATTTGTGTCACTAGCCTAATGCGATATTAGGCGGTTACTGAAACATCTGTTGTTAATCCTCCTCTGCTGCAGAGTTTGTGTTGGGGGATTGTAAAATTTCAGATGTTTGTACCATTGTCCAAAATAGATTGTAAGGTTAAACCTGGCAACTACAAGCCAGTCAGTTTAATCTCACTGATGGGAAAGCTTTTAGAAATGATAATGCAGGACAAAATTAATAATCATTTAAACAAACGTGGATTTGTTGTAGGCAAATTGTGTTGAATTAACTTGCTTGAGTATTTTTTGATAAAGTAACAGAGATGGCTAGTCTTGATCCCATGGACGAAAGAGACACTAGCACTATCAACGCAAAGTTTGCTGAGTGATAGGAAACTAAGTATAATGGTGAATAATTGTCAGACTGGAAAAACTTTATTCCTGGGAATGAAGGGCTTATATCCATTAGAGTTTAAAAGATTCAGAGATGATCTAATTGAAACACATAAGATGTTGAGGGGTCTGGATAGGGTGAATACCCAAAGGTGTTGCTGGAGAGACTGAAAGTAGGGGCCATTGTTTAAGGATTAGAGGTCCCCCTTTTAAGGCAGAGATAAGGAGAACTAAGGAGAGCTACCAGAGTGTGAAACTCTTTTCCCCAGAAAGTAATGGAGTCTGAATCTTTAAATTAATTCAAGACCAAGTTACATTTTTAATAGATGAGGGAGTCAAGTGTTACGGGAACCAAACAGGAAAGTGAAATTGAAACTGCAGACAGATCAACCATGATTTCATTGGATGGTGGAGCAGGCTTGTAGGGCCGAATGGTCTATAACTGTTTCTAAGTCCTATGGCCCCATATAGTGGGGTTCCCCAAAGGTAGATATTAGGACCACTGCTTTTCTTTACCTATATTAATAACCTAGACTTTGGTATACAGTGCACAATTTCGTAATTTGCAGATGGCGCAAAACTTGGAAGTATTCTGTGAGGATGATGGTGTTAGACTTCAAGGGCATAACATAGGTCAGTGGAATTGACAGACACATGGCAGATGAAATTTAATACAGAGGAAAAACCTGAGGTAATCTGACGTTAAATGTGCACGAAGCATTGACGGTGGCAGATTGGGAAATGAATAATAAGACTGACAGAACCTGTCCTTTATAAATAGGGGCATGGAGTATAAAAGGCAAGAACTTATGGTGAACCTCAGTTGGTACATTGCATTTCTGGATACCACACCCTCGGAAGGATTTGAAAGCTTTAGACAGGGTGCAGAAATTTTTCCAGGTCTGAGGGCTGTGAGGGTAGAGTGAAGAAGCTAAGTCTGTTCTTCTCAGCAAAGAGAAGGTTAACAGCAGACCTTTCATAAGTGAAAGAATCCTGATAGGCGAGAGAGGGAGAACCAGAGAATACTTAATGTGAGAGATTTCCTGAGTGGGCTGCCTGGTATCATAACTCAGACCAAGCTTTCTTAATATGATTGGACTATTGTGTGATGTGAGAAATTCAAATAGAACATAGAACAGTACAGGCTCTTTGGCCCACGATGTTGTGCTGACCTATTATCCTACTAAGATCAATCTGCCCTGCATACCCTACATTTTACTATCCTCCATGTGCCTATCCAAGAGTCATCTAAAAGTCTCTAATGTATCGGACTCCACTACCACTGCCAGCAGCGCATTCCACACGCCTACCACTCCCTGTGTGAAGAACCTACCTCTGACATCTCCCCGATACCTTCCTCCAATCACCTTAAAATTATGCCCCCTCGTAATAGTCATTTCCGCCCTGGGAAAAAGTCTCTGACTATCCACTCTATCTATGCCTCTCATCATCTTGTAAACCTCTATCAAGTCACCTCTCATCCTTCTTCGCTGCAATGAAAAAAGCCATAGCTCCTTCAACCTTTCCTCATACGACCTGCCCTCCAGTCCAGGCAGCATCCTGGTAAATCTCCTCTGCACCCTCTCTAAAGCTTCCACATCTTTCCTATAATGAGGTGACTAGAACAACATTCCAAGTGTGGTCTAGCCAGAGTTTTATAGAGCTGCAGCATAACCTCACGGCTCTTAAACTCAATTCCCCTGCCAGTGAAAGCCAAAATGATAGCAACTGCGTTCAATGGAAATGTGCTAAGCCATCATGTATTGTTTGACTGCAGCTGATGGTAAAAGCAAGTGCTAAATTACCAAAAAGTTAATAACCTCCAGATTACTACCTCAGCCACAAGCTAATTGATGCATGATCAACAAGATTAAAGATGTAAATGCGTGGCTGAAAAATTGGTATCGGAGAAGCGGGTTTGAATTGGTGGGACAATGGCACCATTAATGGGGAAAGAGGGAACTGTTCTGGTGCGACGAGCTCCACCTGAATCATTCTGGGACCAAAGTCCCAGCAAATCATGTAACTACAGCTATAATAGGGTTTTAACCTAAATAATTGAAGAGGGATACGTGGTAGCAATATCCGCCTTTTCTGTTATTCTATCCCCGACTGATAATAAGGATTCGGTGTAATCCAGATGTAGTCTCACCAGTGCCACATATGACTGAAGCATAATCTCCCTATTTTTGTATTCCATTCACTTTGCAATAAATGATAACTTTCTATTAACTTTTCTAATTACGTGTTGTACCTGCATGCTAATATTTTGCGATTCATGCAGTAGGGCATCCAGATTTTCTTCTGCCTCTCAGAGCATAACGATCTCTTTTAACTTAAATAATATGTTTTTTTTTATCCTTCCTGCCAAAGTATTCAATCCCTGTTGTTAGTCACTAACAGTCCCCATTAACAACTACTCACCCTCCCAGCCTGATCG